TATTTATACTATCCACTAATAACTAATAGATTTCAGCGTTTTCATAAATTTTTCATTACAAATTAAATCTATATTTTTCATGATTACCTCTATCCAATTAGAATTTTACATTCTTTACAAGCTTAATGTATTAAATCTGAATTTTTCTTAATTTATTAAGTAAAACTTAAACAAATTAATTAATATAAAAAGGCAAACAAAAAATAATTATCAACTTATTTCTACCTTTTATACAGAATCAAAGTATTAATGTGATTTCTGTTTATTGTTTTCTTTTCAATAATTTAAATTCTCATATGTTTTTTAATCTAATAAGTTATGTTATATCAGACATAATAATAGAACAATTATAATATTCATAATTTTTGGAGAAATATGTAAAATTAATCATTTTTAGTAAATAATTAGTCAAATTATTATAGCTCATTAGAAATCTTTTTTAATGTATAATTTAATACTATTTTATAAGTTGGAATAAATAAATATAAACTTTTGATGTTAGGAGTCTTATGAAGAAATATTTGAATTATTAATACTTTAAATAATCTTTCTAGTTAGGGAAGAGCTGGAGAAATTATTTAGGAAATGATTTGAAACAAGAGAAAATTATAGTAAAATTTTGTATTTATATTAGAAAATTAGTTACTCAATTTGAGAATTAGTTCAAAATTTAAGAGGTTCTAAGGGTGCAAATGTTAAACATAATTGAAGGATGCCTATTAGACGATATAGGAAATCAAGAAATTGGGTGAAAATTAGCTAATTTTGTAATCTATGCTGCATTAGAGTAAAATGAGCAATTGGAAAAGATTATAAATGAGATTTCGGGTTAGATTAAGTTTAGGTAAGAAACTCTAAGGTGAGTTGAACTATGAGAAGTTTGAATTTAATGATTTAGATTTTTATAATTGTTACTTGCGAAATTTTTTCTGAATGATTTTTATCTTTAAACAACTCTTATTCTATATATTAGAGATATATGTTGTTAGATAAATTTTAAACAGGTATTCCCCTTCAACCTATTTGAATTATCTAAAAAGATTCTCCATATACAATAATAGAGGATTGAGATATGGGCCTATCAATGTAGTTCTTTTTTGAGGCCAGACTATGGGGTCTATGAGAAGGTTAACACTTTTTGTTTTACCATTAAGGTTATAGGAGGAAGAGTAATACTGTTAAGAGGTTGTGGATGGCGACTTGTCAGGAACTTGGTTTTTTTAGACCTTGAATATGATATTTATTTTCTAGTTTAATAAATCAAAAGATATAGAAAAATATTGTATAAGGGCATTAATAATATAATGTTAATATAAGAATTTAAAAATATAATTTTGAAAAATCAAATATTTAAGAGTCATTATAGCAACAAATTTAATTATAATTTAGTCTTTAGTACAAAGAAAGTTAACAGTGCTTAATTAATAATTAATTTCGATAATTTAACAGATTTGATTTCAAATTGATGAACTTATTATATAAATTAAGGCACTTAGTTTTCTTTTATGAGAATATAAAAATTAGATTAATACAATGGAATGTGTTGGAAATTAAAAATATTTAAATCTTAAGGTAGAAAATAACTATACTTTAATCTAATTAAATTAGGAAAATAATCTTAATAAAAAAAAAATCAAAATGTGTTAAATCATTCACATTCTTTCTCAAAATAAACAGAAGGAGCTGGAAATTTAAATATATAGTCAAATAAATAAAAATTTACAACATAATAAAACAAATATTTATAATTTTATATTAATCTATATACTAGAACATTATCAAATTGAATGTAAAAAAAGGAATAAAAATTTACGCTTTTCTTGAATGCGTAATCATATAGATAATGATTTAATATTATAAGTATATTGTATCAGTGTTATTTAGTAACAGTATTATATTCTTATTTTGAGAATAAGAATATTTTTATCTTATCATTTTTTTATTAAAAACAATTAAAGTAAAAGATTAATTGATCCCAAGTTGCAAATTACTAGAAAACTGTGCATTCATATAATTGCAAAGAAAGATAACAAAATATCTAACGAAAAGGACCTACATTTATTTGTTATAATGTGGAACCCCATAATATTATCATAATATCAAATCATATAAAAATAAATTATATAAATTCAAAACCACTAATGTTTTTCCCTCTTTTAAATATATTATCATTTGATATTTATGGTTCCAATGTTAAATCATCCTTAATTAAACAATTTAAATTTCTTAATTCAAAAATTTAATAGAAAAATAATTTATTTAAAATTAAGATATTTTTCTACTATGGGAAATCAAATTGAGATAGGATTGATAAATGTATCTCTGATATAACTTGGAGAGAGTAGATAATAGATCTGGAGTTAAAACTGGGATTTGGGAAATTTACTGGATATATGTTGAAAAAAATAATAAAATGTATCAATTAACAATTATTAATTAATTATTAGTGCTGGTGGTGAGTATGATAAATAAGGAAACAAAATTGGAAAATGGATTGAATAATCTGATAGATTTAGATATGGGAATTAATCCACCTCAGAAGGAAAGTATAATAAACAAGGTGTGAGAGTGGGAATGTGGGACATATATTTGAAAAATGATGGAAAAAATAATAAAATGTAAAAATACAGCATTTTTATATAGCGGAGGAGGGGAATATGATGAACAAGGACGAAAAATTGGAAAGTGGATTGAATAAAGTAATGAATTTTAATCTGTTAATTAAACTACTTGGATTGGAGAATACAATAATAAAGGAGTGAAAACTGGTATCTGGGACATATATTAAAATAATAAAGGAAATAATAATAAAATGTTATTATACTAACAATATTATTAGTGGTGGGGGTCGATATGATGAACATGGTAATAAAATTGGATTATGGATTGAATAAAATGATGGGTTTTGGACTGATAATTAGTCCACTTATACTGGAGAATATAATGTATGGGGGAGTTAAAGATGGAAAATGGGAAATATTTTGGAGATATGATGGAAAAACTTATAATATGTAATATTAAATAAAATATAATTAAATAATGTAGTGGTGGGGGAGAATATTAAAAGGGTTGCAAATTTGGAAAGTGGGTAGAGTAAAGTTTAACCTTTGAAAATTTGAATTAATCAACTTGAAATGGTGAATATAATAATCAAGGAAAAAAGATAGGTGTATGGGAGATATATTATCAATATCGGGATTAAATGAAATAAAAGATGTATTTGTCTCATTTTTATTAAACTATTAGTGGAGGTGGAGAGTATAATTCTGACGGAGTAAAAATTGGGGAATGGATTGAATAAAGTGATAAGTTTAAATATGGGAATTAATCTACATGGCGTGGTTAGTATGATCAACAAGGTGTGAAAGTAGGAACATGGGAGATATATTTTAGAGAATTAGGAGATGAAAAACCGAATATTAAAATGTATCTAAACCAATATTTATTCATTATTAGTGGCGGGGGAGAGTATGATGAACAAGTAAGAAAAATTGGAAAATGGGTAGAGCAAAAGGATGGATTTTATTATAGCAACTCTATGAACAATAAATACATATTCATTGGAGAATATAAAGATGGAGTTAAATAGGGACAATGGAAAGACAATAAATTAAAGTGATAAAATGAATATTTTATTATTTTAATATAATAACAATAATATTAGTTATAAATCTGCTAATATATTTCTGAGGCAAAGGGGATTATTAATTCGATTTAAAAAATTAATAATTAAAAGGTAAATTTTCATTATCAATAATAATATTATTTAAAATGAAGAAAATATTTCAAAATATTTTCACAAAAATTGGAAGAAGACCCTAATAGGAGAACTCTAATTGTACCATCACAATTTTAACTTTATTTACACTTATTTTCTAATGAAATATTTTAATCATTTTTTTTAATATTCAGTCCTTTATAGTATTAATAGAAATATAAAAATATTATGTATTATAATAAATTTATTAAAAATATTGAAATGACACAAGATTATTATAAATAAAAGATAGAATAATTGACAGAAANGGGATTTGGGAAATTTACTGGATATATGTTGAAAAAAATAATAAAATGTATCAATTAACAATTATTAATTAATTATTAGTGCTGGTGGTGAGTATGATAAATAAGGAAACAAAATTGGAAAATGGATTGAATAATCTGATAGATTTAGATATGGGAATTAATCCACCTCAGAAGGAAAGTATAATAAACAAGGTGTGAGAGTGGGAATGTGGGACATATATTTGAAAAATGATGGAAAAAATAATAAAATGTAAAAATACAGCATTTTTATATAGCGGAGGAGGGGAATATGATGAACAAGGACGAAAAATTGGAAAGTGGATTGAATAAAGTAATGAATTTTAATCTGTTAATTAAACTACTTGGATTGGAGAATACAATAATAAAGGAGTGAAAACTGGTATCTGGGACATATATTAAAATAATAAAGGAAATAATAATAAAATGTTATTATACTAACAATATTATTAGTGGTGGGGGTCGATATGATGAACATGGTAATAAAATTGGATTATGGATTGAATAAAATGATGGGTTTTGGACTGATAATTAGTCCACTTATACTGGAGAATATAATGTATGGGGGAGTTAAAGATGGAAAATGGGAAATATTTTGGAGATATGATGGAAAAACTTATAATATGTAATATTAAATAAAATATAATTAAATAATGTAGTGGTGGGGGAGAATATTAAAAGGGTTGCAAATTTGGAAAGTGGGTAGAGTAAAGTTTAACCTTTGAAAATTTGAATTAATCAACTTGAAATGGTGAATATAATAATCAAGGAAAAAAGATAGGTGTATGGGAGATATATTATCAATATCGGGATTAAATGAAATAAAAGATGTATTTGTCTCATTTTTATTAAACTATTAGTGGAGGTGGAGAGTATAATTCTGACGGAGTAAAAATTGGGGAATGGATTGAATAAAGTGATAAGTTTAAATATGGGAATTAATCTACATGGCGTGGTTAGTATGATCAACAAGGTGTGAAAGTAGGAACATGGGAGATATATTTTAGAGAATTAGGAGATGAAAAACCGAATATTAAAATGTATCTAAACCAATATTTATTCATTATTAGTGGCGGGGGAGAGTATGATGAACAAGTAAGAAAAATTGGAAAATGGGTAGAGCAAAAGGATGGATTTTATTATAGCAACTCTATGAACAATAAATACATATTCATTGGAGAATATAAAGATGGAGTTAAATAGGGACAATGGAAAGACAATAAATTAAAGTGATAAAATGAATATTTTATTATTTTAATATAATAACAATAATATTAGTTATAAATCTGCTAATATATTTCTGAGGCAAAGGGGATTATTAATTCGATTTAAAAAATTAATAATTAAAAGGTAAATTTTCATTATCAATAATAATATTATTTAAAATGAAGAAAATATTTCAAAATATTTTCACAAAAATTGGAAGAAGACCCTAATAGGAGAACTCTAATTGTACCATCACAATTTTAACTTTATTTACACTTATTTTCTAATGAAATATTTTAATCATTTTTTTTAATATTCAGTCCTTTATAGTATTAATAGAAATATAAAAATATTATGTATTATAATAAATTTATTAAAAATATTGAAATGACACAAGATTATTATAAATAAAAGATAGAATAATTGACAGAAACTTTATTAGATCAATTTGAAGTAAAATTGTTTATTAATATATTGAATAGTCTTCATTCAATAAATTCGAAAATTATCTAGATTCACTTATTAATTCAACTGATTCAATAAATTCTAATTATCAACAGATTGCATTTCCATCTGTTAATGTACCTTAAACTAATTTTGAGAATTTAAATTTTGCTCAATAATTATTTAGAGAAATTTAACCGTTAATAAAACAAAATGTCAACAATTAAGTTAAGCATAAAAAGAAACCTATTTATTAAGAATAAAATTTATAAATGTTAGGAGTTAAATAAAATATGACATTAGAATTTTAAAAATTAAAGATTGAAAAAATTCAAAATTAAATGGAATAAAAAGTATCAGATAAAGATGTTTTATTACAATAATCAAACAAAAATAAGTCATTACTTTATAATTAATCAAATAGTGAATTATTTGAAACGATTTAAACTAATAATCAATCAAATTTTTAATCATTCACTTATTAACTAGTCTCAAAATATTCAATTTCATAAAATGAATGTTGTAGAGCAATAGCTATAAATAAAGACTGTTCAATAGTATTGGCTGGATGTGGTAAAGAAATTAAAGTATTTGAATTCAAGTAAGGATTTATGAAATAAATATAAATTTTAAGTGAACATAATAATGATGTACATACTTTAAACTTTATGAAGAAATCAAATTAGTTTATATCTGGGAGTTATTAATCTATTATTATATGGTAATATAATTAAAATAATTTATGGGTTACCTAATAGATATTAAATGGACATAATAGTTGGATATATTGTTTAATATTAAATAATAATGAAGATTTGATTATATCAGGAGGATCAGATAACACAATTAAATTTTGGACGAAAAAAAATGAATGGACTTGTTAGTAAACAGTTAAAGATCATTTTAATTCTGTATTTGGATTAAGTTTAAATTAATAGTAAAATAAAGTGGTATCTTGTGGAAATGATAAATAAATATTAATAATTGAACAATAAAGATAGAATAAAGAATGGATTGTTATATAAAAGATTACAGTTGAATTATCAACATTACGAGTACGCTTTATTGAAAATGATATGTTTATATTATCATAATGTGGATAAGATTAGATATCTATTTTTGAGATGAATAGTATCAATAAATAGTTTACAAAGACTAAAGATATAGTTGTAAAATGTGGATCAGATGGTTATTGTTTATTTCCTTCATAATATATAAATTCAAAATCTATACTATTGATGAAAAATGGTGAATATGTCAATTTAATTAAGAAAAAATAAAATGGATAGTATTTAACTGAATAATCTATTCATTTTGGTACAAATGTTTTATTTGGAGGAATAAGCGATGATGGAGAGTATTTGATAACATGGGAGAACAAATCGAAAGAAATACAACTCAGAAGATACAACGAATAATGAAGATTATTAAGAAATATTAAAAATATTATATATTAATATTTTTCAATTGATTTGGAATATTTTTCAAAGACTAATATTGATAATTTAAAATAGTTTTTATTATCAATTAAGTATTCTAAATTATCATAGACTAATGTTTTTAATGAACTTTTGAAAGATTAGATTAAACTTTGCAGTATTTTAGTATAATTCAACTAGAAGCCTAAACTGTTGAAATTACATATTTTTTTAGAATTCCTAAATAGTAAATTTAATCAAAAATACATTGGAAATTTTCATTACTTAATCTGGAAAATAGAAATTGTCCTTTCTATTGGTATTCAAAGTAATTTTCTATCATTTTTCAATTTGAATGATGATATAAGTTAAAATAGCACACGATTTGTTACATTTGAATCCATAAGAACTTTATTATCAAAAGAATTGAATACAAAAAAATTCATTTTGAAATCTTTAAGGTGATATTAATGCTGATATAGTTTTTCGAAATATTTAGAATAAGACTAAATCTGTTAATATGCTTGGAAATTGATAGATAAATTACCATTCAAAATTTAATTATTAGATATCAATATGATATATTCTTGAGATCTTATGTAAAATTAAAGAAGAAATTGATAAATTCTTAATATTGTACCATGATGAAATCAAATCTAATTTAATTTTTCAAATCTTGAATATAGATTTTTGATTCATTAATTAATTGTTCATAATTTTTAATACTAAAAGAGCTATCACATTAATAGTATATAATTTTAATTTTTACAATTAAAACCATTATAATCATTTAATTCTAATGGATTTTTAATATATATTAAACAGTTCTTTCAAATAATTAATAATTACTATTGATGTGTTAAAATGATAAAATAATCTTAACTTTCTAGATATCATATTGAAAAGATTGCTATATAAATGAAAGCTTGATTTAAATTATCAGTAAAAGATTAATTTCCTACATGGGTAAGCTACTTGTCTACAATTTATTAGAAAAAAAGGATGAACATTTGTTATTGAATCATCTAAAAGTAATAATTGATCTATTCATTATCTCATTTACAAAGCATTCATCATTTAATTCACCATCAAATATGAAATAATTGGCATTCAATAAATTCTATATATTGTCAGTTTTCATTATTCTTATTCAATTATTTTGTAAATCTTGAAAATTTGTTTTAGTAGATTAATATTTTAATTATTAAATTTCCATAAAAAATTTATTTTCTAATTGTAATATACTTCAAATGCAGAGAATCATAATTAAAGGTTTAAAAGGAGGATGTATAATAATAGTACAAATTCATATGCTTAAATTCGCTACTTTTACTTTTGGCTTTGTAAGTTTCAGTAACAATTGATCTTATTGCAAATAGATTAAAAGATTCAAAAGCTAAATTAATGGAATTAAACTTAGGCTAAGAGTTTATATTTAGACTTTTATTCAATAAACCTTTCTGATATAATTCAATTACTATATAATTAAGATTATCAATATAATATATTTAAAAGATGGAGACTTTGATTAAGCCTTTAAAGTATCTTTATCTTCCATCAATATTTATGAACATTAAGCTTAAAATCCTTAGAATAGGTTTCATTCATTTTTTCTAGTTAATTCAACAACAATCCTAAATTCATAAAAAAATAGTGCAACTTATATATAATGCACTCTTATAAAACAGGACTATTTCTATTAAAATGATAAAAATCTTTCAAAACTTATTTTTTTTATTAGGTTTCATCAAAAAAGAAACTAGATTGGTTCTGAGAATTAGATTAAATATCATAAAAATAGTAGGTGTTACTATATTGAAAATCAATGTTAATTTTATTTTGAATGAATTACATTTGGATATTAATGAAAATTAATCTCATTTATGATTTTAATTATGATCTTTCTAAATAACAAAAATAAGAATAGAATAAAAGAACGAAATAGCAGCTAATATAATTATCATAAAATAGATTTTTACATATAACAATAATTATCTATAATATAGTATTCAGAAGTATTTTTATAAATTTTTTTATTTTGGATTCAAAATAATTGATTGATTACATAAAATATCAAAATAAAATTATGTAATAATTACATATTTATTCATAAATTTAGACTAAAACANTAAATTATCAGTAAAAGATTAATTTCCTACATGGGTAAGCTACTTGTCTACAATTTATTAGAAAAAAAGGATGAACATTTGTTATTGAATCATCTAAAAGTAATAATTGATCTATTCATTATCTCATTTACAAAGCATTCATCATTTAATTCACCATCAAATATGAAATAATTGGCATTCAATAAATTCTATATAATATACTTCAAATGCAGAGAATCATAATTAAAGGTTTAAAAGGAGGATGTATAATAATAGTACAAATTCATATGCTTAAATTCGCTACTTTTACTTTTGGCTTTGTAAGTTTCAGTAACAATTGATCTTATTGCAAATAGATTAAAAGATTCAAAAGCTAAATTAATGGAATTAAACTTAGGCTAAGAGTTTATATTTAGACTTTTATTCAATAAACCTTTCTGATATAATTCAATTACTATATAATTAAGATTATCAATATAATATATTTAAAAGATGGAGACTTTGATTAAGCCTTTAAAGTATCTTTATCTTCCATCAATATTTATGAACATTAAGCTTAAAATCCTTAGAATAGGTTTCATTCATTTTTTCTAGTTAATTCAACAACAATCCTAAATTCATAAAAAAATAGTGCAACTTATATATAATGCACTCTTATAAAACAGGACTATTTCTATTAAAATGATAAAAATCTTTCAAAACTTATTTTTTTTATTAGGTTTCATCAAAAAAGAAACTAGATTGGTTCTGAGAATTAGATTAAATATCATAAAAATAGTAGGTGTTACTATATTGAAAATCAATGTTAATTTTATTTTGAATGAATTACATTTGGATATTAATGAAAATTAATCTCATTTATGATTTTAATTATGATCTTTCTAAATAACAAAAATAAGAATAGAATAAAAGAACGAAATAGCAGCTAATATAATTATCATAAAATAGATTTTTACATATAACAATAATTATCTATAATATAGTATTCAGAAGTATTTTTATAAATTTTTTTATTTTGGATTCAAAATAATTGATTGATTACATAAAATATCAAAATAAAATTATGTAATAATTACATATTTATTCATAAATTTAGACTAAAACATTAATAATTATTCTGTGAACCGAAAGATTTATAAGATACATTTTAAAGTCTTTCTATGATATACAGAAAAATAATCTCATTATTCAATGTATCCTACTTTGAATATTTAATTTTTAAATTAAGGATGGAAATTTTGGTTTTCTAGAATGATATTTCTTAAATTATTAAAATAAGCAAATATATTATCATTTACTCTAATAATTTCTAAATGACAAATTTAATGCTTTGTCACTCCATGATACAAATATTTTTACAGCTTTTTGAAAACAATTTTTATGAGTATTTTCACAATTAATTGTTTCATTCTTATTCCAAGCTTGTCTTTAAATAACACTTCTATTTTGGATTGTATTAAATTGTAAAAATTTTATGGTTTAAAGCCAAAAATATTTAAGGCCATAGTTACGCTATCATCTCATAAGGGAATATAATTAAATCACTAATTAATATATTTATGGAAGTGTTATTGATGTTTCATCATTTTTTGAATATATATTTATCAAATTGGTGCCTTAATATCATTCTTTATCCTGAATAAAGAATTTATTTCCTGACATAAGAATATAAATATTTAGAGAAGAAGGATAATAAGAAATCTTAGGACTTCCCAATAGCATTAAAATTTATGCTAAAATGAACCTAAACTAAGCATCACTTTTGGTATTAACTTTATATCCAAAACACAATACAATTAGAATATAAATTTATGGGTATATCTTTTAATTAGGCCTAAAATACTTTAAGCTTTTAAATTTTAAGAATATTAAGGAATTTAATAAATTTTATTGAATGTTGACAGAAGAGAAATAATATATTCCATTCAATTTGTTCATCAAAGTGTAAACGTAATCTTACTTAATGTATTATATTTCAAATTCTCTAGTTTTATAACAAATTTCTAAATATTTTAAATATGAAAGTTAAAGGTATTGATTAAAGTCTGTAGGAAAAGCAGAGACTGATTTGCTATGTAATCTAGGTTTTTGATATTAATATAGTCTGTTTTCTATTATTTCCAATTCTAGTTAAATTTTCATATATTATACAGTAACAGGAGTAAGACTTATATTTTCTTATTTTTTTATTTAGGAATATTACAAATATTACTTGTTAGTAAGAAAACTTCTATAAGGTATTTTTATATCATTTTTGTCGAATTAGTTAAATGTACATAAAATGATGGATAAATTACTAAAATTAATATTTACTATTAAGAAGTTTGATGTTTCATATTTACTATTCTTTCACTTATTATATTTTCCTGACCAAAGTTGTTCATAGATCACCTTATTTGTTTTTGTGAAATTTTAGAGCAATCCATTTTTATTCATTAGCCAAAGTGTTTCTTAGAGAATAATTATTTGCAATTTATAAATAAATTTATATTTTTAAGGTTCACCGAATGCAAATTCCCATTCCCTTTATAGAAACATATCTAGGATGTGTCTTAAAGTGAACAATTCAAAAATTTTTTATAACATGGATAACCACAATTTATTTTTTTATTTATTTTAATCCAAGATTTTTAATGATTAATTTAAATATTTAGAAATGAAAAATATTGAATTCATAACAAGTTTATCACAGAAATGAATATTAAAATTTCAAGAATTTTGTAAGAATTTCTATCACAAAATTAAAGAAGTGATAAAGAAATTTTAAATTGACTATGATAATTATGCAGTTCCTTTATATATCCAAGTAGATTTTCTAAATCGGATGATTTTACGAAATCTCCTTTAATACTTTGTGTTCTAGAGTAAATTAGCTTTTTTGATACTATCCAAGACAAAAGTTCAATTAATATAGTTAAAAATCATTTAATAATAAAGTTTATAAAAGTTGTTTAACTTAGATATGTACTTTATAAGGTAAGACTTTATATTTATATAAATGCCTGATATTTAATAGTAAAAAAAAGAAATAAAAAATGCAGAAATTTTTTAATGTTTAAGAATTGGCATAGTTTTATGATTATTCTAAATATCAGTAACTCATAATATCAATATATTATTGGAGTAAAAGGAGGACCATGTTTTTATGAATGAGTTTTAACTAATATATTGAAATCTTCATAGTTTTTCATTTAGGATATTTTAACATTTCATATTATAATAATTTCAAATTACAAATTGTAAAACATATAATAGAATAAAAATAATTAATATAAATAATTGAAAGTATTTTTAAAAATCTACTAGTCAATTCCTTTTAACGATCTAGTTTACAGTATATTTCAATTTTATGAAAAAATGACTATTAAAAGTAATATATTAAATAAGAATAAATTTGTTGAAGAAATAGTATATGAAGTTTAGTTGCAATATAGGAAAGGGAGAGCTGTTTTATTAATCAATAGAACAATTATGATGTGAATAAAATTGAAGCTAGTTTATAAGAACATAATATAAATACTATTGATGATTATTAGAAAATAAGTAAAGATATTAGTCATTCATGTTCATCAATTTTATATTAAAAATATTTTTTTTATTTAATTAGAATTTGTTCTGATCTCTTTAATGACTTTTTTTTATTTTTTTATTAGAAAAAATTAATTATAATTTTATATAAATAAATTGTAGACATGATTTTCATTATAGTAATTTAAGTAATTTTGTCATTTTTGGATTATTTTTTAAATTTGATATGCTTCAATTATCATTGTTTATTAATTATAAATAAATTTCGATTTAAATTCTAAAATATAATTTGATGTATATAGATCTAAAATTTAAAAACTTCTTAATCTTATTTATTTTTATAAAAGTTTTTGTAATTTACTTAATTTTAGACTCAATATTAAATTATATAACTTTTAAACAATCTAATATTTTGATTATTAAAACTTCTAAGAACTTATTATATTAATTTTTCAACATTTGGAGCATAAATATATTAATTTTAAGTTTACTTATAAGTAATTTTTTATTTTTGAATTCAAAATAAAAAGAAATGATGATACAAATCAAAATTTTATATTCCAAAATCTCTAATTTTAAATAAAATGAATTTTATTTATAATTTAATAATTTAGACAATTATTTTACATTATTTAATAAAATTTAACCAGTAATATTCCTGTATTAATAATTGTAAATTGCGGTATAAACTCAAAAAAATTATAATTCATAGATTTGACATTCTTTTATTTCTGGTTTTTTTTATCCAAATAAATTTGGCTCAAATTCGCCATAGTTTTAACAAGAATATTAATATGAATTACCTAATTTAGAATAACCATCCTTAAAATCACCTCCTATTTTCATATCATATCCATTACCGAATATTGGTCCATAATTTGAATGACAAAAGATAGCATATTTTTTAGTATCTTTCATCAAAGGAAAAACTTAATCATTAGTTTATGAAAATATGAAAGAAGATAAAGTATTATCTGCTACATATTTCCCACAACATGATTCCCATATACAAGGTGAATATGCTCCTAAAATATGATCACTTTTTGATTTGAAGACCATAAGTAAATTACCTTTGCCATTCACCTTGCTCCAATATTATTAATTATTTAATCCATCTTTTGTGCCTGTGTAGATCAAAATTGAATTTTTGATTTATTTATTAACCTTTTATTAGAGAATTTTAATTAGTGTGATCCAGTACTAATCTTTAAGTAAATCTGGTTTTATATTTAAGCCTAATTTATCTAACCTTGATTATATTTCTGTTATTAAATTATCCTTATCTTGGATCTATTAATTTAGTAATACAATTTAATTTTAATAGTTTATTTATTATTCTCTTAATTATTATAAAAGTTAGTCATTATTATTTTGTTCTTTCTTTAATCTTTCATTTAATAATCTCTATTCTTCTTTTAAGTGTTATGATTCTAATTTTAAATCTGTTAACTCCTTAATTAAATTATCTTAAGTCTGACGCTCAACTTTGTACTCATTCTCTATATTGTTTTCTAATTTATAAAAATATTCTTACTTTCAGATTCCAATTTCTTATAATCTTTTTTCAAAGTCTCAATATTTTTCTCCAATTTGTCTATTTCACAAAATTTTTTGAAATTCTTAAAATCTTTTTCAAACTTATCCTTATAATCATGAAGTTATATTAATAAGTTTTTAAAATATTAATTATCTTGGAATAATTTAATTTTATCATTAATTGAGTTAATTTTTATTTAGTGATCTTAAAATTTTTTAATTGTTTGATTAAATAGATCTATCTAACAGTAAATTTATGTTGAAGAACTAATAAATTCATCTAACTCTTGTTTTCTAATCAATTATTCTTAATTTACCATTGTACTCTCTTAAATTTGTTATATATGTTAGAAAATTCCTTGGATTTGGTTATCATCTAATATTAAAAAATTCTTATTACTTGTTTTATCATATAAAATATTTATTGATTCCTAAATGTCTAATTAATCATGTTATTTTAATTGTTCTAATTTGTTTTCAATTTCTTTAGAAATTCGAGAGTCTCTTTTTATTATTAACTCAATTTTCGAATCCTAAATTAATTTTTCTTAATTATTTTGAATCAAACTTTAAATCTGTTAATTTAATTCTTCTTTACTTAATTATTGTATAGAATCTTAGTTAAATTTCTTAATCTCTCTTGCTTAAGTTGTTGTAAATGAAAATCCTGTTCTTAAAGTTTCATTAATATCATCTAATTATAAAATATAATTTTTTCTCATTTCAGCTATTTTTTAATTCAATTTTTCTTTCTTTTTTAACCTATTTGACTTTAAATCATTAAAAATATGATCTTCTTTTTTCAATTTTTCATTCCACTTCTAATTTATATCTTCTATTGTTTTATATTAGCACTAAGGATTATCACTAATGCATTAGACACAAGCAAATCTTTATTCTACTTTTTTATTCTCTGAATCTATATCAATCATAATTATTTCTTTTTTATGTTTTGCGCAAATGTTACTTAAACTTAATGTTTTCTAAATTATTATATAAAAATTACTTAATTATTTTTGGTTTGCAGAGACATAATTTCAATTTGATTATCCTTATTTAAATTATTAATATTCTATACAACATCCTTAAAAGTTTATACAGCTTTATTATGTGCTTCATTTAAAAAAATGAGTTCAAATTATTTAAAAATTTCATAAACAAATTAGCCATAATTTATTCAAGTAGGATTGTAAAATTATTCAACTTTATATTTATGTCTTTTTTCCTTTTTTCTAATCTTTAAGTCTTAAATGATTTTATTCTATCTTATGTTTATTCTATTGTTGATATATTATTATTATTCATTATCTCAACTAAACAATTACAACACAAAAATTAAAATTATCTATTTTCTGGTGAGACTAAATCTATTGCAATTACCTCAAGTTTATGAATTTGACAAACTATTATTTCTCTGTCCTCAGGCACTTAAGCAGCTTAAATATTCATTATTTTTAATAATCCAAATATTTTTAGTATTATTTCTTTTTAAACACTAATGAATCATCGAATTCTATTAAATAAATTTTTTTTTTTTGATAGTTAAAAACTTACAATATATATTATATTATTTTATATTAATCATATAAATACTTTTATAGAATAATTCTATCATTCTAATTAAGACCGAAGGATTTAAAGTCTTTATGCAAATAAAATAGCAATAAAGAGTGACAGATAAGTTTTAAATATAGAAAAATATTTATTAACAGCTCCTGATTATTATATAAGTAATATTTCATTTATAAAATAAATAATCATTATGAGAAGATGGATTTGCCATTATTTTATTTAAGAAATCAAAGAAATTAATAATAATAATCCATTATTAGTAAATTTAAAATTTCCGTAAGAATTTTTCTCAAGTCCTATATAATTTTTTGGCAAATGAATTTTTATAATTGAGGATTGTCTCTATTTCGTTTCAAATCAATTATTGAAATTCTTTTATTAGGCTTAAAATAGTTTATGCAATAGATGTTCAAATAGGTTAAAAAAGATGTAGACATAATTAACAATTAATATTTATTCTTATAATAACTTATTTAAGACTTGGAAAAGTATTTTTAAGTTAATAAGTATAGTTCTAAGTAGAGCAAAATGATTGTCATTTTTATTGTCTTCTTATTATATTTTAAGAGGTTATATCATTTTAATCACTATTAGATTATTTATTAAGAAATAAACTCTCCTTGAATCTAAAGTTTAGAAACTTTTAATTTAAAACTATTTAAAATATTTTATAAATGTATAAAACTAAATCCCATCACAATAAATTTTAATATTTAATTATATGTTTAAAGCAAAAATGATAGAAAATGAAAAAGACTTTTATTGTTAAAAAAAACATGGCTAACAAATTCATTTGGTTGTGCTTGATCCAAAGCTAGAAAAGAACCAAAGACTTTAGTGCAATCAATGCTTGGAAAACTTCGAATCGAATGCTAAGACTATAGGATTAAAAAAAGTCATCAAGATTATTGAGGATATTATTGATAAAAATTTTAAAAACTTAGAAAATATTACATAGTAGACAGTCCAAGATTTATCAATTTGTATAAAAAGTATATCAGAATAATGACATAATTTATAAAATTATTTGATTCTATTATTAGTATAGCTTAAGATTGGACTCAAGATTTATTGGCATAAAGAGAATAATACAACTAATACAGTTTCTATGATGAATTAGATTGCTTTATTAAGAACTAGAATACTAATTACGATTCTAATATCGCACGTATCTATAATATAAATAGATCTTGGAAAACTAAACTATCTAATAACCTAAATTAATATATTCAAGATTAAGACAAAGTTAATTTTAGAGAGATAAAATAAAAAATTATTAATATCAATTGTTCAAATTTGTATCAAAAATATGAAATAAAATTAAAATCAATTGATTAATCAGTTTAATAAAAAATTTAATGTAATTCAATAGTTTTTGATTTTTCTGGGTCAATTATGGTATCAACCGAAGAGAATGATATTAAAGTATGGAGATTTCTAGATGGAAAAATCAAAATGTTAAAAAAATTGTAAGGACATACTAATTGGGTTTTCTGCTTAGTTTATAGTAAGAAATAGAACTTTTTTATTTCAGGTGCGGAAGACAAGACAATAAGATGCTGGAAATAATTGAATTAAACTGAATGGATTAGTTCATAACCTTATTAATAACATACAGATTTTGTAACGTGTATTATATTAAATTCTAATGAAAATATACTATTTTCTGGAAGTAAAGATAAATCAATTAAAGCATGGAAGGTTGATTTTAATAAAAATATATTGACATACATGTATTCACTAGATAAACATGATAATAAAGTAATGGCATTAAGTTTAAATTAATCAGAAACACAATTAGTATCATGTGGATAAAATAAGAATTAGATTATTATTTGGGAAAAAGGAAAATAAAACGAGTTTTAATTCAAACATTTTGTTAAATAGTCAATTTAAGAAGAAGGACTTAAGATTTAATTTATTAAAGAGAATTAATTTATTTGGATAACTGGTGGTAAAGAAAAAGACAAACTCTAAGTATTTGAATTAAAAGAAGGAGGTTACATAGAAAATTAGGACAAGGCAATTCAATTAATTACAAATAATTTAATAGTAGATCAATATCTTTTTCCAATAGTTTACAATAAGGAGAGGAATTTAATAATAGTAAGACATAAAACCTTTATCTATATCATTAGAGAAATGGATAATGGTAAGTTCGAAATAGTTGACTAATTGAATTGTGATACAATTGAAATTTATGGAACTATCACAAACAATGGATAATATTTGATCTATTGGGATTAAAAAATTAAGGATATTCAACATATGAATTATTATATAAATGAATAATTATGATATCATTTATTTCTTTTCCTTTTTATGAGTAATCCAAATTAGAAAAAATCAATAGTTTTCAATACTGAATATTGAATAGATGCATTAATAAATTAGAAGCCCTTTTAAGAAATTAGAATTCTAGTTAGCGATTTTTATGGTCTTCATTTAGAGCTACTACAATTTTCAAGATAAAACATTTGTGAAATGTCAAACTGAAAGAGTATAAGTATAGTTTTAAATATGCATTCCACAAATCTAAAATTTTAATTTATAGCAGCAGCCTTTAACCATAATAATCAAAAATTCTATGGCTTAATGATTTGCTATATATATAATAGAGTGGATAATGGCTCTGTAGATATTATCAAAGGTTTCATTTTTCGTTAAAGTTTAATATGAAGTTAATGGATAATTGTAAGAGAGCTGAAACTATTCTAAAATAAATTAATCAAATTTAATAAGGTTAATTAAATTTCATTGTCATTTATATATAACTCAAAATAAGGATAAGCTATATAATTAGTTGAAAAAGGAACATATAAAAGTCATTATTATTATTATTATTATTATTATTATTATTATTATTTTACTTACAGAAAATAAGCATATAATTAAAAATTGAATTAATATGTTCATAGATAGAATAATTTTATTATTACTTAAGAATTTGAAATAAATCACTGAAATACTTGTTGTCTCAATTTGTTTATTAATGTATTATAATCTAAATATATATTGAAATTGCAATTTTTAATTCTTATTATAAATGTGAATATTTTATTTCGTTAGTGCAAATAAAGATTAAAATCATTAATTTTAGTTTGCAATTATAATTCTTTTATGGGATTCTCTCCTTGCATAGACAAATAATACTCCTTATCCAAAAAATTCAGGTTATTTGATATTCTTTAATATCAAGATATATAAATATTAGAATTTAAACAAAAATAAATTGATATAGTTATTTCAACTTATTATAGAAAATCTATATAATATGTAACAATTACATTTAGAATCCAATAAAAATATGGTTAAATAAAATGCATAATAATTTTACTAAATTTAGTTTGGTTTTTTTGCTGATGTTTTGGATTGAGAGAATGTAGAATTTTATGAAAAAAATTTTATCAAATATATATTATTATTTAAGAAATAATTCTTAATATTAGAAATTCGAATACGAAATAGAATGTAAACAGGAAAACTTAATGAATCAATAATTACTACGGTGTGAAATATATTGCATTTTTGAATGCTTGAATCAAAGTTTAACTCATGCATTAGATGGCCTTAATTAAGCAAAGATTCTTTTTTCTAAAATAATTGAAAGTATCTCTCAATAGAAAACATGTGTTATTAGAAATACAGTTACCTTACATAAAAAAGCATACTCAAATAAATCATATTTTATCTTATAAGAATTTCAGATCAATTAATATTTTATATTAAAGAGAAATCATTGATATTATTGATCCTTTCATGATTTTACCCTTACTGAATTTTATACTCCAGATAAAAACGATTCTAATTTTGCCTTTCTATTTTAAATCTTATAAATATGATAAAATACTCATAGGCTTTCCAAAAGAAATTACTTTTATAAAAAATAAATAAGAAAAAAATGTTTGATTAATTTACAAATATCTTTTTTTATGCAATCTTAATATGGAATATCAATCTTTCCTGATTTTTGCTCTTTTATTTTAAGTTCAAGGACATAAAAAAATATATTTAATTTGATATATTATTTTTTATCAAGATGTAATTCTGCTAAACTAAACAATCAAAAAGTTGATAAAAAAATGAGATTGAGTTTTTTGTCACTAGAATTCCCCTATACTAATTATAAGTGCAAAGGATGAGTATGATAGTAAAAGTATATGAAATATTATTTGATATTGAATAACTGAAAGTAAATGGTGAAATCAAACAAATTGTTTATCAAGTTTGAAGGATTTCTAAGCAGAAATAATTAAGAATAAACAAAGATTGTAATTAAAATACATTAATTAAAAAATTATAAAGAATTAGATCTTGACTTTTATTATTTTAATACTCTTATTCTGTTATATTTAGAAGCACTAATATAAAATAAAGTTATTCAAATAAGAAATCTCTTAAAAGTGGATTGAATTAAAAGAATTTATTGAGTTGATTTATGTCTTAAATTGGGTCTATGAGATACCTTCAAAAAAGGATGGAAAATAATTGATCATTATTGATTTTAATCCTAATGATAAAACTCTGAAGAAAATATTCCTACTAAATGTTGGTCTAGAATGGAAAAAAAGATTTCTTCTAATTTAATTTTAATAATTAGTTTTTAGATATATATTATTATTATTTTAAAACTAAAGAGTTTCTCAATCTATTTATCAATGTGAATTTAAAAATAATTTATAGCTTAGAGTAAAATAATTATTCCTGTTAAACTAAAAGCCTAAGATGATAATTATTTTATAGTAATTGCGAAACATTTTATGGGTGCTCTTAATATATATAAAAGGATAGAAACTTTATATTTTTTTGTTAGAATTAAATAAAATGATGAAAACAATTAATTAATATCATCATCAAAATTTTTGACAAAGAGTTTTCATCAACTGAATCATCAAATAATAGAATATGAATAAGATGATAAAATAATATTTGATAATTCTTATAAAATCTAAACTTACATCTAAGAAAGATATCCATCTACAAAAGATTGATATGAGATATTGTTAATAAAATTGCATGATTCTAATCCAATATATAAAACTAAATCAAGTATTTCTCTTTAAATTTTAACTTAAAAATTTCATTTGCAAAGAATTCTACATGTTAAAAACAGAATTAGAGAATGAAAAATTTATTCGAAGTAATTAGATTAATCCAGCTGTTTAAGTTCAAATCCAAATACACTAACAAAAAAGTTTAAATCACAAAATATTGAATTTTTTAATGTAAACTAAATTTTTCATTATCTTTTGTGGTCCTCTAAATTCTACTTTTTTATTAAGTATTGAATCTGCAATTATTAAAACATTTATTTTCTAATTACTTTTTTGAGTATATATATTTTTTCTAACATTTAAATGATTATTGAGTAGTTCATAAATACAATTTGATTTTAGGTTACTAATATAACATAGTCTCTAATTATTTGTTCACATCTGTTAAATAAGTATGATTCGATTGCTTTTGTTAAAACTAAATTATATAGAGTCAGCATTCAATAAGTCATTATGTAAAATTTCATAGATTTAAGACAAAAATTCTTTTTCTATTAAGATCTTTTCACTAAAACATATAGAAGCTTTCAAATTACATTTAAAGGGTTACTTAGTAATTGACAATAAGGAGGAATTATATAGTGGAATGGAAGGAAATTTTAATGAAAATCAAGATATCCATAAAGCCAGAATAATAAATTTTTATTTCAAGAATTGGAATATAGATATTTAATATAATTCTATATGATAAGCTATTTCAATTTATGAAAATATTAAGAATTCCTCTAAGGGTCTAGTTATTGGAGATTATGGAAAAGAATGACTGAAACAATTCCCTAATCATAATCTAATACAATTATCTTGGGTAAAAAGTTAATATATATTCAAATTCTTATACCTGTTTTTTTGTGAATACTTATTTCCTTGAAATAAAGAATAGAATGCAATATAGTTACATCAAGTTTGATAAATTTGTGGGATGAACTTGAATTTTGGAGCAATATTTTTAAAGCCTTTTCTGATGTAAAAAGTGGAAACAATAATTTTGGATCTAATATAAATATGATTTTTTGATTAAATGAAGCTTTTAATATATGAAAAGGGCTATAAGACACGTGAATTTGATAATTTTATTCTAATTGATAATTAATAATTATTATTAAAAAAAATAACTTTAATAGAAAATCATTGTTTATACACTTAATAATAAGGCTAAATAGTCTTTTGAAATTGATGGAGCAGTTGAATTCTTTAATTGAGTTTTATATAATTTATGTTATTTTGAGAACTTTAAATATTGTTAGTTGGTTGATAAACTTTAGAAAGTGTTTTCACAAATGCAATTTTGTTAATAGATGATTTATTGTTTAAATCCTAAAATATTCATTTAAAACATTATGAGTTACTTTTTGATTACTATTAGCAAACAAAATAAGGTGTTAATTATTTAATTAAATCTTGTGTATTGACATAATTTCATATGTTTAAGAATTTAATAATAATATAATTATATTATTTTCTAATATTATAAGAAATTTATTCAGATAATATTAATAATTCACAGAAATTGAAAATCATTAGAAAATAATCCAACTTGATTTACTTTACTAATTCAAATTATGTTTGCCTGAACTAGACATTAGCTTATGAGCCATAAAACAAATTAATTTGGAAATTTATAATCTTAAATAAACCAAGCTACAAATTTTTATTGGATATAAGTCTAATTTGATTGTTATTATATACGTTAATATATAAGTTTCAATCAAAATTTTATTAAATATGTTGTTAAGTTTGATATTTAAGATTATTTTCATTATATATTTAAACTTCAAATATAATTAGAATGTATCTTCGATATTTTCTCTTCAAATATTACTTAATAATACTAATTCATGATTAAAATCTAAAATAAATGAGACAGAAAAAAAAAATAATAATAAGTAGAATTATTTTTACTATATATCCTAATTCTAAGAAACAAAAGTTTATTAATATTTTATTTAAAATTTGATGTAGCAGTTAGATCAGGAATAAAACACTAATTAACAATAATAATAGAAACAAATACAAAAACCTATGAACTAAACTATGCCTTAAATGCCAGAAAAGCCAGAATGGCCAGAAAAGCTAGAAAAGCCAGAATTGCCAGAAGAGCCAGAAGAGCCAGAATCGCCGAGCCAGAATCGCCAGAATCGCCAAGCCTAAAATGCCAAAACATCCAGAAGAGCCAAACATGCCATATATATTTATGTGCACAGGAATGAATGGATGTGATTTTCAATTCTTAGCCCTATCTGATTTAATGCCTGATCTAATAAAGAAAACTATAAGAGAGGAAATATGAGAAAATTGAGATCTAATACAATGATAAAGAATACAATTTACAATATATTCTAGCTTTCAGCATTTTGAATATGTGTATTTCTTAAACTCAACACATTTTGATCTAAAATGATGAAGTATGATTTTTCATTTTTAGCAAGTCTAACTTATTATAAATTTCGATATTTTTTGTATTAAATAAATTATTTTTTTCTTTCAAACATATATATTAACATAAGCATTTGTAGAGAATCGATTTTAAATTTCATTAATTTTTATTATAATGCATTTACTTTAGAATATAAATCAAATTGCTTATAATTAAGCACTAGATAAAGTAGTAATAAAGTTGAATCTAAAAGAATGAACTATATAGATGGCATCAATCCATTACCAATCGAATTGGAATTGCTATATTTAACCCAATTTATATTATACATATTAATTTGATTAAATTCTATATTTCAAAGAATTGCTCTCCTTGAAATGAAATTTTAATTATTAAAGGCCATTGTATTAATTCAAATAACTCGAATTTATATCGATATTTCCTTCTGTATTAATTTAAACTCTTAATAATAGACAGGCTGAAATTTTCCTGTATTAACTTATTTATTTAATAAGTATCGACTGTAAATAGGATTTGTAGTTAATTTATTTAATGGAATAAAATTTCTTTGCTTCCATTTGAATCTTTATAATGAGCCCAATTATACTATATATTAACAATTTAATTGGGAGGAAAGTGTATACAATCAATCTATGTGATATGTAAAAAATAGGAAAGAATTTATAATTTTAAATCTCAACATCTATTGTTAATAAAAATTAGGTTTTTTATGTACATATAAAATCACCATAAACTTTTGATTTTTATTCAAATTGATTTTAGAATCATTTAGGAAAAATGAATTTTGTATTCTGATTCCAAAAATTTTAATAAAAAATTATTTTTCAAAGGATCTTTGATTAAGTTACTTGTGTAAATTAAAGTTATAATTAATTTAGAAGAGAAATAATTAAATTTCAAGCTCACTCGTTTATAAAATGGAGGGAGAATTTGAAAAAATAATAATGGATATGAAAATTCATATTTGATGATATTTATAAATAACATAAAAGCTTTTCTTAAAGAAAATTTTTCTATTATTTTATCTAAAATTAATTAATATAATAATCTTTTCCTTTATTCTTTAACAAACATCTATCATAAATTTTGATAATTTCTTTAGACAAGTTTAGAAACAAATTGAAAGCCAAATTAGCATAAAACATATTAAAATGTACTATTGGAACATAAATATAAATCTCTCTCTGTAAATATTAGAAAGAGAAATTTAGATTTAAAAGGGGAGTAAATTTAATCAAGAATATAAAAAGAAAGAGGATTGTAATTTATGTTTAAATTATGATATTTGAAATTAAGAATGTTTTAAATTTAACAGCTAAAAATATAGTTTTCACAGCAACAATATTATTCTAATTTTTATTAGTTAGTTTAAAAGTAATGTTGTCTAAGCTTTTCAAATGAGTAGACAAAAATTAAGTTATTAAAAATTGAATTAATAACAGGTAAATAGCAAATTTTTAAATCAATAAATAAATAAAGTTAAGAATATCCTGATTAGATTTATCATTAACTTGATTTTTATCTTTGTCCTATATATAAATGGATTAATAACTAAGTTATTAAAAAATAATTTAAAGCTGATTGCTAGAGAATTCTGGCATAAATGCTAAAAAATGCAATTTACATAAATATCAGATTTGAAAAGTGATCAGGATTTTAATTAGTTCAATAAATTCATTTTAGGATAAGGTTGATGAATTTTTGAGGATGGATCATTTTTTTAGAAAATGGAAATAAATGAAAACAAATATTATAGTAATTAAACATCAAAGAATATTATTTAAAATTTTTGAATTAATGATATTTAATTAATTTAAAAATAGAATAACTTATAGTATAAATCTTGAGATGAATAATAAAGCCATCAACTTAATTATATAATTTTATTACTAGATAAATAGATTATTATAACTATTTGTTATATTTTTGATAAATTTGAAAATAAATAAAACAATCATCAAAAAATTAAAAGATAGATTTATGATGTTATAATAATTATTACTCAATTTTGTATAATGAATTATTGATAATATAAATTTAATATTTCAGAATGTTTGAAGTCTTATTTATCAATAGAAAATACTTGATGGACCATTAACTTATTTTTTTTTAGAAAATACTCCAATGATTGATTAAGCTAGTCTTTTAATTTTTTTATACTTCTTAAAAAGAAACTTCCATTATTAAAAACCATCAATCCCTAATTGAATACATAATATAGATGTCATAAAAAAAATGCAACACCATCCAATTAATTGTCTAATCTCATATGAAAAATATAATAATTAAAAATCACAAGTCAATATTGTAATACTCAATAGTGTAAAAGAGATACTAACTTCACTAAATAACTATTTAAAATACTCCAATTTATCTTCTAATGGATTAAATAAGATGTAAAATAGGCTAATAGAGATTGATAGAAGTGTAATGCTGACTGTTTGAAAAATTGGAAACTCATAAGCGAAAATTAATAAAAACATAAAGATAAGTTTTTTGATTAGAAGAATAGCATTAAGATATTTGGAAAATTCATTAATTTTAATTCCATCAAAAATAGATCCATATTTATTTTAGATGGCTCTATTATTCAAAGCATATTTCTTCATTTAAGATAGTTTGATTACAAAATATATGCTAAAAACATATATTGCACTTGCTACACATGCTAATAATGAACTGAATCTTATAAAAATATTAGGTGAGTTAAGTTCTAAGGCATACAATTACAGTACTAAACTGAAAGTAAAATCATAAGCAGTGGCCATATAAGCACGTAAGATTCCACTATAGAAGAATTCTGAAATAATAGTAAAGCACAATCTATTTATGACATACTTTATAGTTAAATAGTATACTCCAACTTAGACAAGCCAAGAATTTTCTGATTAAGACTCAGAATAAAATTTAAACTTGAAAGAATATAAAATTTTAGGTATCACCTTTGAAATTCCATAGATAGAAAATAAAGAGATCCAAACTGTAGTAATTGTTGCAGAATTAATAATAAATAGCGATGTTATCTCGTCACTAGCTACTTTCGTAGGTATCTTCTTTAATTGTTAAGTATTCAATATCTAATCAATAAATCCTGAAAAATCAAAAATCTTTTAGATAAAGTTAAATTAAGCAAATCCAAAAAGTTCAAAGTATGTTTATAAATTATATGGAAGTTGTGTATTAATGTATTTAAAATAAGATAGCATTTAGAGAGTATCCAGTAAATTAAAAAATACTTCAACTCCTCCAAATAACACTGATCCACCGCACATTGCTCCAATAAAATAGAGTATATAGGTGTTACTTTTGGTTGCTAATTACACTTGAGCAATTGTGACATCATCTATGTATATCAATTTTGGTATAAGGCAAGAGACTTCAGTTTCAATTTAGGAGTATCCTTCATTTGAATAAATGACTGAATTGTTTAAGAATTTGATCAGTAGGATTTCATCTTTTGAATTTCTCGAGAAAGTGATATTTATCATTAAAATTAACTCAGATTAATTAAATTCATTAATATGCGAAGTATCTTAATTGAGTTGAATGGACTGATCTATTTTTTAAGCATTAGCTTTGTTCTAGATATGAAAAGAAAGATAATTTTTAATTTGAAAACCATCAGTAATAACAATTTGAGTGGTGTAGGATAATTTAAATAATCTGATAACAGAGTAAATCTAAGAAGTGCCTAAACTCTTTAATATTGGTTTAGGATAAGTTGGTAGGATACTTACTCCATTTAGAAATATATACTTATTTTCTAACTTACATTAATTGTCACACCCATCACCATTAATAAGATTTCCATCATCACATTCTTCCTCCTTTACTTTTATATAGTCTCCACATTTATTTAAACAAGTTCCATTTATCTCATCTTCATAATATCCTGATTCACAAAGTTAACATTTATGATTCTTCTATTGTGGAAACTTACAACTTATACAATTATAAGCTTAATCGATGCATTCCAAACAATTGATTGAACATTCAACACAATCATTTTTATCTAAAAAATAACCAACTTTGCATTTGGTACATAAAGATTTTTTTGTTTAAGGATTCATTTAACATTTAATGCAATTAGTAGAACATTGAAAACAGATTGATTTATTTAGTATTTCATTATAACAAGAGTAGTTATGATCAATCTTACAATTAGAACAACCATCTCTATTTACATAATTTCCATCATCGCATTCTTCACCATATGTCCAAATTTAATCTTTACAATCTTAATATTTACAACTTTCTTAAGATTTTCCCAATTAATTCTAACATGATGTACAAACTCCATCTTCTGTTTCAAAATAGTTTTAAATACACACACATTTGTTATTCCTTAAAATTCTATGTAGTTTTTAATCACAACTTATACAATTAAATTAATTTTCAATGCAATTTAAGCAGTATTAATAACATTAAGAACAATTATTTTGATTCCAGAAGTAACCTGGATTACAATTACATTTAAAATTCAAATCTAAGTATAAATTTGATAGCATAACACATTCTAAACATATTGTTTAACTTAAACATTTTTTACATGGGTATTCACATCTATAACATTGATTCTATTATTCATAATATCCAACTTTACAGATACATTAATTATTAGGATTAATTTCATAATTATTTCTACAAGTAAGACATTTTTCAGGCACTTCATTACAAGTTAAACAATTTTGATTGCATTGCTCACATTTCTAACCTAAAGGATAATATCCATCTAAACATGTATCACAATAAAATGAATTTCTACATTCCTTACAAAAAGTAAAACATTCTTGACATTATCTCAATTCATTTATGAAGTATCCCTCTTAACAGATTTCACAATTGACTTGATTTTAACAAACATCACAATGATCAATACATTTTAAACATCTACTTATTGATGTTAAATAAAATCCCTTCATACAATTATTACAATTATCTACTCCTTAACAATCTATACAAAATTGATCACAACAAAAGTCTTCTTGTTTTACAAAACCTTCTTTACATAATAGACATTAATAATCTTTGACAATCTAATTTGGATCCAAACATGTTAGACATTCATTAATAGTATTTATACAAGTAGAACATGGATTTTAACATTTAAGACATACAATACCTTATTAGAGATATCCAGGTTTACAAACACACTATTTACTGGAATCTAAAATGTGGTTCATATCTATGCAGTTGATACATCCATTTGAATCACATTCAAAACAAGGTTCTTAACACTTTGCACATGTGATTAGAGTATTTGAATAATAAGTTGATTAGCAAACACATTAGGATATATCATTAAGTGTATGATGAGGATCAATACATGTCAAACATTTAGTGGTAGATGTCTCACAAGTTGTACATGGTTCTATACAAGGCATGCAGAAGTAATTATCATCAAATATCCATCCAGAATCACATTCACAAGTCTCAGGTTATTAATGTAATTAATCTTAACAAGTGATACATTTATTTATATTATCTACACAATCTAAACATGGCAATTAACATTTTAAGCACGTGATACCATTTGTATCTAAAATCCAACCTTCGTTACATACACACAAATTTGTATTAGTTATTATTTAATTATTATCAACACAAGATAAACAGTGATCCTAATTCTATTCACACGTTTAACATGGACTTGTACATGGCAAACATGTTTGAGAATCAAACTAATAATAGCCAGATGAACATTCACATCTGTATTGTATATTCTAACTTAAAGTAAAAGTTAATATGCATTCAATACAATCATCAGCATTATTTTCACATTTTGAACATGGTACTGTACAAAGCTAACATTAATTTGATCCATCAGTATAATATCCATCATTGCAAACACATTAAAAATCGACTGCTATTTTATGACTGTCGATGCATGAAGTACAATCATTTGAATTGTTGACACAAGTTGAACAAGGTGATATGCAAGGAAGACATTATGAATTTGAAAGGTATTTACCATTATCACATGATGTACAAGTACTACTGGAACCTAAACATGTCTTACAAATAGCATCACAAACTGAGCACATAGTTCCAATAATAAAATAGTGATCCTCACAAGTTTAGCATACGGTGTTAGATGTGCAAGTAGCACACTAAGTAGGGCAATCTGAGCAATTTATACCTGATTTGTAAAACTTAGGAAAACAAGTTGAACAAGATTTTTATGTAAATGTAGGAAAACATAATGAACAATACACCAGACTACAAACTTCACATCCATTTTAACAAGTATCGCATAGATAAGTTAAAGAATAAAAACCTGGCCTACATTAGTCACATTTTGAATCATCTGTACAAATTATGCAATTAGATATACAATCTATACATTAACCATTATCCTCAAATTATCCTTAATTACAACTCCAAGTTACTAATATAATTTAATATGTCTTTACATAAACAGTTCATTAAAATAATGTTGATTGTAAGTATGTTGTTGGACATTTAAAAATTATAAATAATATATGAGAAATTGATGATGCAATAAGGATTTAATAAATATATTTATGAGAAATTGATAAAAATTATCATTCATTCTTCTTTACATTCAGAGACTTTAATTAATTGTCAAATGTTGATTCTACACTTAGGAATTGATTATTTGTATTTTCAATTTATTTTGTAATATTAACCTGCTCTATATAGAATTTGAAAGAAATTATCATTATTATAATTATTATTCCAATAGCTTATACTAATTAAACTAAAAAAATAACTTTATAGATAATCATGACTTTAAATAATATAATTCCAATAATTTTTTTTATATGTGACTTAATTTGCTTTTTTTAATATTTGAAACAATCCATTCCAATATTCTTAAATTTAATTATAGGCATTTTGAGTAATTTAAATTATTAATAATTATTAATAAATTTTCAACATTTTACAATTAAACTTTAGATATTACTTTAAATATTATTTTTATTTTCCTAACAAAGAATGAATAAATTTTATTTAAAATCTTATTAATTTAAGTCATTTAGTATTCTATTCTGAGATTCTATGATGCGGATAATTATAATTCTGATTTCTTTTCTTATTATTTATCAAAATCTTGGATGAGTTTCATATAAAATAAAAATAGAATTCAAACTAAGTTTCCATCTCTCTTAGATAGTATTTGCAATTTAAACCGTTAAGAAATATTAAATGATGTAATTATCAATTTTTATTTTTATTTCATAATTATTTAGATAATATTTATCACAAATATTTTAATTAACTTTTTATGTTTATCTTTATTTAAATATAATGAGAAGAACAAAAAAAAATATTTTTCTAGAATACCTCTTAAGTAGTTTTATTATTAGTGTAATTTTATAAACTTAGTGATTTATTTAATGCATTTTATTTATGTAACGAATAATTTGGAACGATTGCCATAAAATTATAGAAATCTAATCCATATATATAACTCTAAAAGGCTTTTTCGTAATATCTGAAGTTTCAAAACTATTGATTTAATAAAAAAAATCTCACTTTAATATGCGATTATTAATAAAATGGAAAAAAAAAAAAATTTCATTCAACCATTATTTAATTATTGAAGTAGTAATAATTTAATTTTATAGTAATTTAATTTTTGGATCTCTATTAGCTGATAATACTCATCTAATATTTTTCCAGTGATGAATATTAATAATGCAATAAATGTATTGAATATTATAAACAAGTCTAATTATTAATGAATAATCAATCAGTAAAAACTAAAAATTAAGAATGATGAATGAACTCAATCTTATAATTTTATTTCAATTCAAAACTCACACAAAAATCCTCCTCCAATGGATTTAATTCTTTCTTTTTTAGACATCTCAATTTTTTGTCGTCGCAATTTGACTAATTAAAATAAATGCTTTTTCTAAAAAATTAAATAATTCCTTTTTAAAAATTGCTTTCCATTAAACTATATTAAAAATCAAGATATTTTCTTGTCAAGAAAAGTTAATTTATATTAAGATTTGATTAAAATTAATCCAATAAAGTATTAAAAATCAAAATTAATTAAGAATCATAAATATTCAATTAAATGGAACTATTAAATCAAATATTACAGTTTTTTTATATATAAAGAAAAAGATTAATCTTATTACAATAATATTTGAATTAATTTTAAATTTAATTAATTCACATTAATATGAAAGTTAAATTTATTCCATATTTTCATTGTTTTAAGCTACAGTAGTTGAAATTAAGTGGTATATTAGCAATTCTAAATCATAGTCCTGTTAGTTAATAAAAAATAAAAGATATTAGTTTCAACTCTTAATTAATAACTAAAAAAAAAATAAACAAAAAATTAATATTTTATTTAATATGAATTAACAGAACGATTAGATGGTCTTATATGTTGGAGAATCGAAAAATAGTAAAAAAGTAGGTAAATGGGATATTATGTACAAAGAAAAATTGATGTAAATTATCAAAAATATAACTGTTTTTAGTGGTGGAGGATCATATGATGAAGAAGGTAATGGCATTAAAATTGGAAGGTGGATTGAAATAAATGGAGGATTTAATCAAGGTTCATAAGTAACATTTAGCGGTGATTACAAAAATGGCAATAAAGTTGGTAGATGGGATATACTATTTAGGAGGGATGAAGATTGTCCATTTACTTAAATGTACATAGAATATAATTGTTCTTTTAGTGGAGGTGGGTAATATGATGAAGAAGGTTAGGGTTTGAAAATTGGAGATTGGATTGAAATAAATGAATTATTTATGGATGGTTCATAAGTAACATTTAATGGTCAATATAAAAATGGAAAAAGACTTGGCAGATGGGATATATTATTTAGGAGTTTTGAACATAACCCATTTATATAAATGTAAAAAAGAATATAAATGTTTCTTTTAGTGGAGGTGGATAATATGAGGAGGAAGGTTTGGGTTTGAAAATTGGAAATTGGATTGAAATAAGTGATAGATTTATGGATGGCTAATAAGTAGCATTTAATGGTGAATATAAATTTGGCCAAAAAGTTGGTATTTGGAAGATTTTGTATAGGAGTAGCGATGATAATCCATTTTCATAAATGTAATCTCTAGAATTTTATGTGTGAATAATTTTTAGTGGTGGTGGACAGTATGATGAAGAAGGTAATGGAATGAAAATAGGAAGTTGGATTGAAATTAGTGATGAATTTAGGAATTAATCATAAGTAATAAATAAAGGTGATTATCAAAATGGTAAAAAAGTTGGTAGATGGGATATTTGGTATAGGAATAATGATGATGAATTGGTTAGTGAAAAGATGTAAAAATATTTATCAATATTGAAGTGGAGGAGGGTCATATGATGAATTTGGTGCTGGAATGAAAATTGGGAAATGGATTGAATTGGATAATCAATTTTATGAGGATAAATAAGTAACTTTTATTGGTGAATATAAAAATGATAAAAAGATTGGTAGATGGGATATTTTATGGAGGTATTAAAGCAGTGATCCATTTTCATAGATGTAATACATATTATTAATAGTGCGAATAAAATCAATATTTTAGTGGTGGAGGATCATATGATGATAGAGGTGATGGCATGAAAATAGGTAGATGGATTGAATTATATGATGGATTTAAATGGAATACTTAAGTAATTTGGGATGGTGAATATAAATATGAGAAAAAAGTTGGTAGATGGGATATTTAATATAAAAGAAATAAATATACACCATATTAATAGATGTAAAAATATATTAAAAACCTTTTAATAAATGTGTTAGTGGCGGTGGATAATATGATGAAGATGGTTAGAAGATTGGGTAATGGGTTGAATTATATGATCTTTTTGATGATGATTGGTAGTATACTTTTTGTGGAGAATATAAAAATGGTAAAAAAAAAGGTATTTGGGTTGAATTAGATATCAGGAAGAATGAGAAACGCAGTGAAATCATATATGATTATTGAATAATATTCATATTTTAGATAAAAACAAATTTTCATCTCATTTTTTTTTTAATGTTGGCAATAATATTTTTTCATTTTTTAATTAGTGTGATTGATGTTTTTCATTTTTTTTGTTTTTAATAGAAATTTAATAATTAAATTTTTTATTAATTATGAAGCTGTTGAAATATATAAAATCATTCCAATTAATATAAAAAACTTTTGTTATTATTTTTTAGAATTCAAACAGAAATGTAAGCCATATTTAAACAGCTGATTCTTTTTTTTATGTATACATCAATATTTTTACTATCTGATAGAAAAATAGAAATTGCTGGTATTGATAACCATTATAAAAAATTAAATATATCAATTTTGTTAGGTATTTCACCTAATAGATATTCTATCATATTTGCAATAATATTAATCATGTTCGATAATTTCTTTATTTAAATAAAAATCTTACATATAACACAATTATGTTTTTATTTATTTAATAATATGCATACATCTAATATTAAAATTTTAATTGACAATAAATTGATTAAAATTTTTAGATAATGAATAAGATTTTGAAATCTGTAAATTTTAGAATCAATTCTATATTAATTTAAGAAAAATATTATTTGGAGTATATATATTTATACTAATTAATTAAGATAGAAATACTATAAGAATTGAGAGAAGTTGAAGGAGTCCAAAAAAAAAAGGTATTTGGATAAACTAAAGATAAAAAGAAAAATTTTAATTAATTGATTAGATGCTTTTTGATAATGCTATTACTAATATTGGCTATTGGTTTAGGAATCATTGAAATTTTAGAAAATTTCATTAAAAATAAATAATAAATCTTATTTTTGTTAACTAACCTTAATTTATAATATTGTTTAGGTAATAATGATTTAGGCAAAACTCTTATACATATTAATAACTAAGATAGTCTTATATACCATTTATAAAATTACTATAAAATAAATTCCTAATGATTAAAGAGAAGTTGATTAAAGAGAAGTTGATTTAAACTTAAAGTTTGATAAAAATGCATAATCAATTCAATAGGGGGTCTAAATTATTAATCATTTAGGCAATTTGTATATATTTAATAAAATCTAATCCTTCTTTTCACTTATGTTAATTAAGATGGTTCTTTTGTCAAATTTTAATTATGAATGAATTTTAATTATTTTTCTCTGTTCTGAACATATCAAAGGTTTATGTGACATATTTTTAATTGGAAAAAAATGTCGGCAATTAATAACTTTTTCAGGATAACTTAAAGTTACATCAACAAATACCTAAGAATAATTTTCTCGAGTTANTTTTTTTATGTATACATCAATATTTTTACTATCTGATAGAAAAATAGAAATTGCTGGTATTGATAACCATTATAAAAAATTAAATATATCAATTTTGTTAGGTATTTCACCTAATAGATATTCTATCATATTTGCAATAATATTAATCATGTTCGATAATTTCTTTATTTAAATAAAAATCTTACATATAACACAATTATGTTTTTATTTATTTAATAATATGCATACATCTAATATTAAAATTTTAATTGACAATAAATTGATTAAAATTTTTAGATAATGAATAAGATTTTGAAATCTGTAAATTTTAGAATCAATTCTATATTAATTTAAGAAAAATATTATTTGGAGTATATATATTTATACTAATTAATTAAGATAGAAATACTATAAGAATTGAGAGAAGTTGAAGGAGTCCAAAAAAAAAAGGTATTTGGAT